TTACAATAGAAAAATAAAAAAAGTGAATAGAATTAGAAGCCAATAGAACAAACATAGTAAACGTGACATCCCTGAATGGGATCTACGATTTTGCCGAATGCCGTTATAGCGGACATATTACTAGTAGAAATGCCGTAATGCCATTATGCTGTAATGTCGAAATGCCATAATGCCTTTTGTATCGAAATGCTGTAATGCTGCAATTATATAGAAAAATTCCCTAGAAAGAAGGCTGATTTTTTATTAACTATACAAATAATTTAAACTTTCATGTTTGAATTACCAATTATATAGTTAGAAATATAAGGTGCAGACATTTGGAAGGCAAAAGGTAGCTACCTCTTACGGCACTTTTACGTCATATAAATTTGGGTAGTGACGTCTTACGTCATCATATATCATATGTTAGTTGAAAATTTTAATCTGAAGAATTCTTTCTATCATTATATGAGAAAATTTTATTGTAATGTAGTAGAGATGTTAATCACGTAATGTAAATTTTGGAACTTACGCATATTATATGTTATGGCCGTGTTGTAAACAAATAGGCGAAAAGATTAATGACTTAGGTCTTTCAAGTTTATCAGATTTTTAGTCCACAAAAATTTCATGATATATGTTATGTATCTTGTATGCTACAATTAAGGCTTAATACGATAAATAACGATAACAAAATTGAGATAGTATTAAAGTAACGATAAACAATAGAAATAACGCGTTACTCTTAAATTTACGAATGACATCAATTTCGAACAACATAAAATTGAAAAAAATTGACGCAAACATTTTAACATTACGGTTTTACCGTACATAATATTTACGACATTTAGATACTATGTTAAAATTGATTTTATTATCCGTAAAAATGTCGTAATGCCGTAATTCAGCGATTCTACCAACTATAGTTAGATCAAGATTCGGATTAAAAACTTGTACTAACGCTATCTAAAATATTTATTTTACTTTATTTTTTAACTCTAAATGACAATCTAGTGAGACAGCCCGAACCCTAATGTTTTTTTGCCAGATTGATATTTGGGGCAAAATACACATATTTATGCATAATTTCAAACTTATCATTAATAGTTATCGTTATGTTCTGAATAATTTTGGAATGACGTATTGGTGCATCATTTCTAAAGTAAACATTTGATTTATGTAGCTTATATTCATTTGTTATTTAAAATTTTTGATGTTACTGCGTCATGCGGTTTTAGAATTATGTTATAGTATTTATTAATTACAATACTACGTCGGCATGTTATTTATAAATTTTGTATGGTGCTAGAGGCCTATACTAGACAATAAAAATAGTAGAACTTTAAAAACTCATCAACTTTTATAGAGACAATATTTATAAAAGCTATTTGGCAATTTTGTAAAGTTTATTATAAACAGATATATACTAATTCTGTATAAGTACAGTATGAAAAGTAATTAATTTTTTTAAAAATAGTATCCTCTAATAAATAATAAAGACCAAATACTTCTCTTTTAAAAAATTATATAATAATTGTTATACTGTATGCTATTTTTATTAAAAAGATACTGAATACTGTATTGTTTGTTAAAAATCATAATATAGTACGTATATATACTGTAGTATTCTATTATAACTACTGTATAACATATAATATATATACGGTATTTATGTATAGTAGATTTTTTAGCAACATTTTTTTTTAGAACTGTATACTGTATTTAAAAATTATACTGTAAAAAAAATATAGATATATTTATGTAGTACTTTAATTTAGTACTATATACAGTACTTTTTTACAAATTGCTATTTATATATATACCACATATAGACTAATAAAACTCAAAGCAAGGTATGTATATACAATATATAATACTGTAATATATATAATTATTATATATATATATACAGTATATACTGTATTATACTGTAGTTTAATTATTAATTTTGCAATATGTCGACATACTACGTAGGGTTATTATGCCAAAAACAATCTAACCTTCAAGATAATTGCTATATATATTTTCGAAAAGCTGCAAAGAAAAAAAGCTTTCATAAATTCACATGTAAGTTTAATATCTATCTTGCATAAACACACATGCATTAAAGGAAACCTAACATAAATATGCAAACATATAACATATAAAAACCACCTATCACTGATTTTAAACCGAAAAAAAAAAAATGCTACCAGTACCGCCCTCGCATAGTCCACGGACACCTCAAGAAGCCCAAATATTGTATGAAAATATTAGGACGATAGCATTATGGTATTGAACAGTGTATTAGAATACGTCATTATATATATATAATATAATTTAAATTCATACATTCATGCTTGTACATAGGCTTGATTCAATCCCGTTGCTTCCTATCCCAATTGGTTTAGATGCTATCATAGGACTTTTTCCGGTATTAGGTATATATCAGAGAAATGCACCTTTTTTTGAACATATAAGTAATAATAATACATATTATTATATATGATATGATAGGTGATATCATAGGACTTTTCTTGGGAATGTACCAGGTCTATCTGACAAGTTTCTACGCCGAATTACCTCTAATGCTTATAGGTCAAATGCTATTAAACGTTTTTATAGATGCTATTATTGGAATTATTCCTTACATAGGTAATCATAAATTTAGTTCTTCATCGAAATTTACCTTTACTGAAATTATACATTTTATATTTCATATCAAGGTGATATTCTTGACATTTTATATAAGGCAAATTTGTACAATTTGCAACTACTTGAGTCTTGGCTGAAAAAAAAATATGGATCAAGGATACATACATACGGATCACGTTGATCACAAACATTTAAATTAAAATCACATTAATTATTTAGAACAGCAACTTTAGCGTTGGTTTAATAAATTTTTTTATTGGTTGCAATTAAAAAGTCATCTTTTTATTCTATATTTGCCAGAAGTCGTCATTTTTCATCGCGTCAATCGCGCTTTTGTAACCTCCTTTATGTAACGCACGTTTCTTGAACCGACCAATTGCATCGAAATATTGGTATTGTTCATTGGTTTTCCTTGGTTTTGGTAACTTTTTAGAAGTCAAGAGTTTATCCGCAAGATAATGCAACCACTAATAGCATACATTATATGTTTAAAAGTTGAATAATATATTGAAATCAAAAAAATCTAAATCTAACTAAACTTACAAATACATTCGTCTTTGGGCAAAATGACTTCCAATTACCCTTGGTCTCTTCACGCATCATGCGATAAATTTCGAACTGATAATCACCTGCCAATTTATAAAATAAATTACGAATATTTTTAAAAATTATAAATCAAGTTCAAATACCTTGGGCTGTAAAATACCCTTCATCTAAAATATCAACATGAATAATTTCATCTCCTGCATTAAAATAAACCGCGTCAATAAAATAAATTTCTAAACATGAAAATAATATCGAATTTATTTTTATACAAACCGCGTTGCATACGAGACAATGTATAATCAATTATAAAAGCGCGTATACCATATGTAGGAACTTGCACATTGATTTCCGCTGAGGGTAATTCATATGTTACAACCTTATTTTTCGTGGGTTTTATTGTAATATTACCCCAATGTAGATCCCTGTGCTTTAAGATAGAAAATTAAAAGGATTGCGCAATATCATAATTTATGTAAATTTATACTAAATAAATACTTCGAATTTTAGGGACTGAAATAATTAACAATTTATGTATTAATAATAAATTAAATTTATGAATCTCATTGGATACGACTGTATGCTCACCTGCTCGGCTTGAGCTAAAGCCCATCCAACTTGAGTAAGTAGACTCCAGGCTTGTTCCCAATTCTTTAGCTTAAAATCTTCAAGAGAAATTCCTCCATGCTCAACAACAAATATCACAAATAGTTGTTTGGCATCGAAATAGTCTTAATCAATACCAATTAATTTTTAATTAACATTCTTGAAAACAATTACACATAAAATGAAATTACGGATTATGTATAACACATGTATACCTGGACGATCGTTCTCTGAATTAAACTCTGTATCCCATCTATTCCATTCATCAAGTAATTCTGTAGGATATTTACCGCGACATATACCGACACTAATAATGAATTAAATTGAATACCAAGATAAAAATACGTTATACGGAATAAGAGTGTCTTTGTACCTGTATAACTGCAAGAAACCGACCCTCAGTAAAGGGTCAAGTCCAGTCCTCCCCCCTAATTCGCGTGTTATTTTAACTTCTTGGGTTATGTCCTTTATGCTACATTGTTCGTCGCCATTTACTAAGACTTCTGGTCCGCGTCCAAATGGTATAATCTTGAAGACACACTTTTTTTTTACTGAAGTGAATTTTGGTGCATAACCTGCGAATACCTCTGAAAAACTAGCTTCTCCGATTTTAATCACGTTTTTCATTCCACTAATAACAAAGATAAAATTTCTTATATATTAAAATAAATTCACTAATAATAATTTCGCAAAAAAAATCAAATCACGAGATTTCTCACTCTAATCCTAAAAATTCCTGAAAAGAATAAACTCGCGTTTGTTCGCATATCGTTAGCAACTCCATTATTTCTGATTCATACACCTTATTATTGTAAAGAGAACTTTCGATCTTAGAAATCTTTTTCATTGAAGCTTCAATATCATCATGTGTGTTATTTGATTGATAAATATCATTTTTGTATTGCGGCTTTAAGCTACTCTCAGATTTGTCAAGTTGTATTTCTTGTATTTCTCTAGATAAAAATTCAATCCTATGATCTATTTCGGGAACAACAAGAGGTGAATTTTCTTTGGTATCATTGAATGGAGTTGGAGGCCTATTCCGATCTCTTGTCGGAGAAGGATACACCGATACTTTTAGTTTCTCATGCTTTTCATTTCTATTTTTATTTAAATTCTTTGGCGTAAGAGGACTGCGTAACTTGTTAACGAGAATGACACGTTCATTAGATTTTTTTCCATAAGTTTTTATAGTTTTTGTTTGAGTCCCGAGAAGGTGCATTTTCTAAAAGTCACAGTAAATAAACAACATAACAACCGGTGATTTCCGTAGTAGTACATAATTTGATCAAATTTTGATCATATTCTATCCAATCACATGTCACAATGCATGATCTTAAATTAAATTTAGCAGTAATAGACCGCTTTGGCTTTTAAAACAACATCCTTGACATTTTTTTCTAATTAATTTTTAAACTAATATAATAGCAAAAAAGAATTTTTTTTTTTTTTTTTCGTTAATATGAGTTCAGACGTAACAGGAGAACAATATATTCGTACTTTGGCACAATACATTCGTTCAAATGCGCGGAAGATATTTACACCTAATTCATCTTTGCCTTCATCTCAGGTATTAGTAGGTCATAGAAGGTCTAATAGTGATGGTTCCAATTTTTCAATGGCAAATGTATGGTCTTTCACTACGGCATTAACTACCTCTTACTTGAAACCGGCCTCTTTAACTTCATCAACAGCCCCCTCTTCACCAGAGTTTAAAACAAGTCAAAAAGCAATTTTGCTCACTCTTGATCCTCAACATTTATATTATTTGTTAACTAAATTTAGTGATTTGGGTCTTGATGTTGGTGCTTTTGAAGTAACAGCCGATTTCAAGTATAGTGACGATGATATTATTGATATCGACTTAAAAGATGAAACAGCGTCAATTACGTCAGCGAATTCTGTCAGTTCAATATCATCTGCTATGTCCTCTTTGTCGTTGTTCTCAGGATGGACAGGGTGGGCCGCTGCAGCACAAAAAAATGAAAATATTCCAATAAAAGAAGAAATATTATATATATATCGTGCATTCACAAAGCTTTCTGGTTTAAAGCTTTCAATCGTTACTCAAAAAAAAATAGGTGGCTCTAGTGATCTGCCAATAGGAACTTTGTTGTCCATGACTTTATTTAAATGCTTGACGCATTTAGAAATTTATGGATTATGTCCAAAATTGTTTGATGGATGGGATATATTACAAGAGAAATTGGAATACTTGTCTATGCAAAAGTGTACAATTGATGATATTTCAGAAGTATTCATTGATGCTGTGGTTGACGGCCTAAAGAGGAGAAATAGAAAGGATGTTAAAACTGACAACAATGAAGATATAAAAAATGAATCAGACCAAACGGCCACAAAATCTGAAAATTTAGGTGATAATTCACCTGATAATATTTTACCACCAAGGATCTGGCGACAACTGAGGCAACTCAATCTTTCAGACAATTCTCTCACCTTTGTTGCCAGTGAACCTTTTTCCTATATTACTAAATGCGCATGCTTGGATTTATCGGATAATTTGTTACTCGCAGTTCCACCTGGTTTATCACAACTTCCCGACTTGCAATACCTAAATCTTAGCAATAACATGATCGAAACAATAAACAATATTCATCAGGTTCTTAGTAATGTTACCAAATTAGACTTGCGTAACAACCGTATAGAAAATTTATGTGGATTAGAAAGATTATGGTCTTTAGAATACGTTGACGTTAGGGAAAATCGATTAACAGACTGGGCAGAAATTGGACGCATGTCCGAACTTCATGGAATGAAACAGATATTTATGGAAGGTAATCCATTCACTAAATATCAGGTTTGTTGAAAATATTCAATTTTAATCAAATATTGAATTCGATAAAACAAGATTGGTCAGTGAGAGTATGCATATTATTTTATTACATTTGATACACCAAACTTTTGTCGAATTGATCTTTATATCATATAAATTAAGCCTTATTAAAATAAAATAAAATAAATTTTTTTTTTTTTATTATATATTATTAGCAATCCTACAGAGTCAATATTTTTTCACTCTTTCGCGAAAAAGATAAAGAAATTATGTTGGATGGTACGGGTCCTAGCTACAATGAACGCCGTCATATTACTGTCAGTAACAAACCTTCATCTGAAAAGATTCCTGAGGCTATTCCGACTAGTTCAGGCCATGAAACAATTCTGTCTACCAGTCCTGTTGATGTGAGCTCTATTTTGAAAGCACCTAAAAGTAAACATCGTAGAGTTGTTAATCTTGATGAAGATGAAGAAAATCATAGTGGAACTGATACTGGATCAGATGTAATGTCGATTAGAAGTTCAAAATCAGGCAAAAAGAAGAAGAAGAATAGACCAAAACTTGAGAAAATGACGTCAAGACATCGACTCGTAGAAATTGAGAAGGCGGTTGCTGCGGAAAATGACCCACAAATAAAAAAAAAGAAATCGATTAAATTCCGCCAGAATACCACGGATTCGCAACAAAAATCTGACACCGTGTTATTTGCATCACCAAGTAGCGAATCAGAGATTATTACATTTGGAGAAGATTATAGACGAAAAATCGAAGAACTGCGAAATGAAAGTGGATCTTCATGGCTAAAAGTTTATAACGAGATGGAATATTCGAAAGATGAAAACGATAGACTAAGAGAGCCACCGAAGATGAAACAGTTTTAACCTCTATATTAGGGTTGGTAAAGTCTTTAGGACCGGGACTTTAGGACCTGGTCTTTAAACCTGGTCTTTAAAGACCAAGTCCAAATTTAAGGACCTAGGGTCCTTAGGTCCTAATATACAAATTTATAATATATAGTTTAAAGTGAAATTATAATTGTGCATTTATAATTTATACCGGGGGATATTCATATCCGGGGTGCTATATCTCAAAAACTAATTAAGAAATAGGGGTTAGATATACTAAGCAAAAATGCTCAGAACACCCCAAAACCTCGCGTAATCTAAAAATTAGACTATTATATATAACCCTCCTATTGGTCCCAAAACCGCACCCAAACCCTAAATTCAGTAAAAACTTTTTAGCAAAAAATTATTATAAAATAAGGGATGGATATCAATATCCCCCGGTAAAAATAAGATTTATTCATTATAATTTATTATTAAAAATAATAAAATTCATTTCAACTGCAAATTTCTGCTATTGCGTAGCCTAATCAATATATATCAAATACGTATAAACTAACGCACCTCCGATTCAGATCGTCAGGTGAGGTGCGTAAACTATTGATCTATCATCTAATGAATCTGACGAAAGTAAGAGTAAAATAAATTGAATAAAAGACTTTTGACTTGGGCGCTTTTTTTTATTCTTGCTTTCTTGAATCTCTTGGCGTCTTTTTTAACTCCAGTAACATTCTATATCTTTGAATCATTTTGGCGTCGTCTTACTTCCAGTAGCATTTTTTTTACATTAAGCCTCTTCAGCGCCTCCATTTTTTAAATTTCTTTGCCCGAATATTTCCAATTAATATGTATTTTTTTTTTTTGCCTAAATTTTCACTGCACACTTTTCCTGTTTAAGTCTTCTCGGCACGTTCAACTTTAATAATATTTTTTATATGTTTTTTTTCTGTGCGTAATGACTGATCGATAGGTTACACACCTAATCTAACAATCTACACCTGAGGTGCGTCAGCTGTGATCTGAGGCAAGCGTTAGTCTAAGGCACAACATATCGATATATATTTATTTTAATTATTAATTTTTATCAACATTTTTCATTATTATTTTTTTTATTCTAATATCGATATCATTGTTTTTAAATTTGTCAATGTATAATAAAATTATCTGCATAGATTAGAATAAATCATAAGAAAATACAAGCTTTAAGAAGCTATATTGCAAATTTTATTAACACAACTACTTTTGTGTCTTGAGTTAAAAATGATCCTAATCTTATTTAAGCATCTTTTTGAAAAAATTGTCAATTTCGTCCCTTTTTCAGCACCTAGCCCAAATAACTGTTGGCGGATTTTCATAATTTAATAAGTTACACTAACGAAAGAGCCACGGATCCGAACAAGTATAATTCACGCCATAACTCAAAACAACGCCCGTGCTCATTATTTTGAGATTTTACGGTATATGATATTTGTAATAGGTGCTTAATTGTACGAGCAAAGATAAAATAGGTTTCTTGATAATCAATATTGCAATTTTACTTTATTTATAAAGATTAATAATGAATGATAAAAGATTTGATGAAAATATATCAAGTAAAAAAAAGGGAATATGCAAATCTACAATTTTTTTTTGATCCTTCCCAACACACCCATCCGAATAAGCAATAGAGAAAGAAAAAGAGGTGGTTATTTACAAACAAGATTACTGTCGATAAAATCTTTTTTTTCTTTTTTTTTTCTTTTTTTTATATAGCAGTTAGTTCGACCATCAATCATCATCACTCAACCAACAACTTAAAAAAGAGCTAGCAACAACGTAAGTTTGCATATTTGATTCAAACTCAAAACACCAATGAATTATTCTTCTTTCGTAACTTTTTCAGAGGTCTTGTTATTATTGGGAATCAAGCCTGTTTTAGCAATTAAAGGTGTAACTTTATCGGCATAATCCTTTGTATGGTGTTTAGCAATAGCAGCAAACCTATAACACAGATATAGAATTAAAAAAAATTAAAATGTAAAATATGAAAATGCGATAAATTAGATTAATATACGAAAAAGCAACATACCGTTCCCAATACTCATATACAATTTTAAGTATATGATCCAATTTTTCATCAATAGTAGTCTTGTTACACTGATAGGCTTTTGGAAGAGTAAATCCGAGAATAAGGGCTAAATAAAACAAGTGAATAATATCGGATTAATCCATAATCAGACGTAAAAATGATACAACAAATTGAGAAAGAACAAATAGTAAATAAGTTTACCGGTAATAATAAAGGATTGAAAGCTCATCCATGACATAATACACCAAGATACGTAAAAAATTATGATATACTAAAAAGAAGCAATGAAATCAAAAATTTGTCAACACAAATGAAATAATAATACAATTGATTACCTTAAAAGTTCTCATCGGGTCATCGATTAGAGCGATTTGTTGACCTTCCAACAGCAAATAATTGATGCCATTGATACAAACATTAATATGTTTGTCGGCAGAAGCACGATCAATGTAAACCGGTTTCTCACTCAAGAATGTTCTGAAAATAAAATTCTAACATTAATAAAACAAATTTTTAGTTTACAAATCACCTCCAGATATCAAATAACAACATACTCATATGGGTTATCAGCTTTATTGTTTAACAACTTTTGTAGTTGCTCTCTAAAAAGAACATGCAACAAATTGAGAACTAACGAGTAAAACGTCAAATAGCATAAAATGTCGGGTAATGAAAGGTAAGAGTTAAGGATAAAAAAGGAAAAAACGCCTGCCAAGATAGAACCCGAATGCACAGGGTTTTCCCAATAGACAAGATAGTTTACTGGAAGCAGATCAAAAAATTCGAGATTAGAAGGAATAAAGTTGAACATTGAATGATCGATTGAGGAACGTGACACACAATCAAGTTATGCTAGAACACAAATTACCTATGGGAATTATGGCAACAAACGGATCTAATAAAATGGGTGATAATTGTAAAACAAGATAAATCAGGACAAAAATTATAATACATAGTGCAACCTAAGAATTGTATACATACTTTCGACGAATTTTCTTTTTTTTGTCGTTGTGTTAACCCTGTCAGTAATATCTTCAGTTTTTTCAGTCGATCTATCAGTTGAAGTTAAGGCTTCCTTCTCAGAAGGGGGAGAAGGAGGATCTCCTTTCTCTTCCTTTTTTTCATTTACATTATAACCATTTGTAGGCTCTTCAGTGGCAAGGCTCTCAACGTTCTCCGTGGGTTTTTGTGTCGAATTTTCAAAAAGCATATTGTCTGGAGCTACTTTGTCGTAGTAAGAATGTTCATTATTTTCCGTGTCAGTATGTTTTATTTCATTTGGCTCAGAATTACTTTCGAGTATGGGGTTATTAGTATCGGTCATGATTATCTTTTAACAAATCAAATATATAAAAAATATAAATTCTTATTTTTTTTATTTTTTATTTTTTACAAAAATAAAAAATTAGCGAGATTTATTTCTTTTTAGCTAAGCAGCCACACCCAATTTATTTATTCCCAGGATTTCTGAGAACAAAGAATTACTTACTATGAAGTATGAAGTGTAACCGTGCCAGAGCTCAATATTAGAAAACGAGTGAATATAACTTCTTAGGAAGGCTTTACACTAAAAGAGGAAATATTAGTAGCTATTTTGATCAGATGTATTATGGAGTTAGAATGTACGCCTCTCAAATTTCAAATGCAGTAATAATGATGTAAATTAATCGCCAAAGCTGTCAACTGATGACGCAGTAAATCGTAAAACTGGCTTGAACATCTTCACATGCCGACACTAGTACATATGTGATTTAAGGTAATTGAGGGACGTGGCACTTCAAGATTTGACAATGTGTAAACAATCACACTGCATAATAGACTAAAGTTTGAAACAATTATAAACTTGTATTACAATACCTTTTAAAAATCCGTGGAAAATATCAATTTTTAGAATTTTTCAGAAGGTAAATTTGAATTCTCCAATACTAAATTGGCGCCAATTATTAAGTAATTAAGAATCAACTTATGATACGTAATATAACGTGATTCAAAGTTCCCATAGCGCCCCGAACTTTTTGATGACTTGGATAATCAATGTGTATGTACTGTATTATAATTTAGGTATTATAGGAACACAAACCTTAACTTATCAAGAAACTTAAAAACGAGAAATATTTTTTATTAATAAGCAAAGCTTCACCACACGTTCTTGCAGTCGATTTTATGTTTATAGGTTTAATTGTGATGATTGTGTAGTAATGATCCTAAAATGCTGTTGCTAATATGTATAAATTTGTATATCGAAAAGGTTCTACAGTAAAAGATTGTTCGTGATCAAGTAATGCTGTATGTACCGATTTGGATTATATCAGAAACATATAACGATAAGGTTTAAAAAATCAAGAATTACATTGCTAAGGTGTTACGTAGTCGGTACCGGATAAAACAGTATTATCATAGATTTAATGGAAACTAAAGTTATTTAATTTATATATACGGTAGTTTTTTTTTTTTTTTAATATTTAAGGTGAGACTATATATGGTAGTTTTTTATGAACGTTATTAATAATTTAATTCGTCTTATTAAAATAAATCAAATAGTATTAAAATTATTAAATTTAAATTATATACTAAAAATTAAAGGATTAATCTATGTAGCCATGGCTAGTTAGGGTGTTCAATAACTAATTGATCAAAACATAGTTAGGGTCATTAAGTTCGGATTTTTTATAGGGTTATTTCACTTATGAATTTATATATGAATTTGTACTTTTAGGTACATTTTTCTACACACAAAATTGTATCATATTTTTTTTTAAACTGTAGTTCTAGACTAGCTCTACACTGAAATAGAACCGGTTTTCTAATAACTTTTAATAAAATTTTGTTTTAATTTTTATTAATAATTAACACCGGTTATTAAAAAACCGGTTCTATTTCAGTGTAAAGCTAGTCTAGACTACAGTTTAAAAAAATATATGATACAATTTTTTTTGTTAGTTGTGTAGAAATATGTATCTAAATTAGTACAAATTCACATATAAATTCATATGTAAAATAACCCTTTAAAAAATCCGAACTTAATGACCCTAACGATGTTTTGATCAATTAGTTTATTGAACACCCTAATGGCTAGTGAATTGACCCGTCTAAAAAATCTTCACCCGGGTCACTCGACGGGTGGGCAATGTGCCACCCGGTGAAAACGGGTCAGTTAAAAAAAAGGCACCACCCGGGTCACCCGTTACCCAGATCAGATAAAAAAACCCTCAGGGTTAACAGTTAATATTCCGAACCTCTAATTGACTATAAGCTTAATATTAAAAAACACGGGTACAATTAATGCATACAGTTAAAGAGATTATTGCACGGGTCTTATGTGACAACCCGTGCTTTTTAATTTACTTATTGGCACGGCAATAAGATAGTTATTGTATGGGTATGTTGAATAACCCAGTTACATACAGTACACGGGTTCACATTTAAATCCGGTGCCTTCGGCATGGAATATGAACCCGTCTGTAACTGGGTTATTCATTACATACAATAACTATAAATTACAAGACGAATCATATAAGTTAACCAAAGTTAACTATTCGAAAAATAAGCAAAGCGCCTCAGTACAAGTAGGGTACAAGCACTACGTACCCAGTCTAGGATCGACAGAGGCACCATGAGCCCCACCTAGAGATGTTAATGGGGTAAGATACTCTGGAGTGACTATGGAGTATAACCCACTCCATACCGGTGTGGTTTAGACATAACACCACCCGGATTATTAAGATACTATTAATAGGAGTAAAATACTCCAGAGTAATGCTATTAAATGAAGTAGTTTATACTCTGAAGTATTATTAAAATGCCGTTAAAAGCATTTTGATTGGCTCACTTATACAAGCACATGAACAAAAACATGTGAGCAACACCAAGAGAAAATCAGATTTTGGGCTTTTGAGCCCCTGAAAGTCTGATCAAATGATACAATAATTTAATTTTTCAGAAGCTGAGTCTGTTAAGTTATAAACTAAAGCCCGGTTTTCTCTTAGTAGTACTTATATATGAACATTTGAAGATTGTATTTATTAATTAGTTTATATTAATTGATTGATAATTGAAATAAACTGTTTCTTCTTATTCAAACTTCTTTTCATTCATTAATTTATAGACTATTACATATCCATGTGCAAGAATGCTAGTATAGTATATTTTTTCTCTTATTGTTTACAGTAAATTATAACAGTACTTTAGTACTTCAGGCTATACTCCAGATTATACTCTGGGTTATACTCTGAAGTATACTATTCCAGTATGGCATAGTGTTAAAGAATACTCTACCAGAGTATGCACTACACCACTCTGGAGCACTTCATTAACATTCCTAGCCCCACCAGGGGTCTAGACACTTTTGCAGTAACGTGACATGGTGTAGAGAAATAACTAATTGGAATTCATAAATTTTGATCATCCTGAATTAGTTTATATCAAACCAAAACACATATGCAAGAAGAAAAAAAGAAAAAATACTCAAAAACTGGTGTTTAAATCGGCCTTTAAACACTAACAAAAAGTGTCAAAAATACAATTTTACATATTATATAAAGCTAATAACCCTAACCACAAACTCTAATATGAACCCAAACTCTAAACTAAAGCAAAAAATATGCTATACTATGTAATGATCATATTACTGCAAAAGTGTCTAAACCTCTGAAAGAGCCAGACACCATGCATAACAGAAGTGGTGCTACTAGCCAACTAAGAGGTGTCACACAGAAGTACAATAGTGCAATACATTAAATAGAAAATTCATATAAACATACTTGTTTATTATTCAAAGCATGTGTATATATATTGTATATCTAACACAAACACATACACTCTCTCTATCCACTAGCAAAACAACCATTGTTAGAAAATTCTCACAAACAAATATTATATAAAATATTAAATTTCAAAAAAAAACTTTTTTTTTTAAGTGATTTTCTAATATATATTAAAAAAAAAAATTCTTTATGACACATGAAAACAAAAAAAAAGTACTAGTCAATATAAACAAAGATGCCACCTCACCTAGTTTTACCAATAACCTAAGTTCAAACTAGGCTACTTCAATCATCAACTTTTTCAAGATTGACGTGAACACAAAGATATATATCGATTCTACATGTCAAGCAACAACAATCACTATTATCAATTCTATCAAGTTATATATTAATCAAAATATGAATATACAAATGAATATGATCAACAAACTAAATGAATATTTAAACCTATATGTTAATTAACAACAAGCTTATAACAACCAATCAAGTAAAAAAGCAACCATTTTAATATTAAAACACAACTATGATTACAACTCATCTATGGTTTTAGAAAGCAATATCTTATAGACAAAAATTCGTTTAATTGGCTGATATAAATCAATTGACTAGATAACTTATTTATATACTTTAAAGTACTTTTTTAGAATATAAAATTATACAAGCAAAAAATTGTTGCAAATATTATTTCTAGCTAGAAAGTTAATTCTAAAATTAATCTCTTATTTAAAGAAGCTAGCTTAGACACAACTTTCTAAACTAGATAAAGAAAAAAAAGGCTTTGTTTGAATTTTAACATGCATTAAAAAAAATAATTACTAACAAAATAGCTAGTTTTTTTTTAGAAATTAAAATTTCAAATTTGGTTTTTAAAGCAGAATAAGCTTATTATCACTATTAGCAATAAAAAATTTAGAGTTAAAGTACTCTTAAATTGGATTGGTTTTTAAATTTAGGTTTATAAATTTTTTTTTTTTTTTTTTTTTTTTTTTTTTTTGACAATCATGTCACAACTTTATTTTATACTATAGAATTTACATTTATAATAAACGAATATTCTATTTATAGCTATGCTATT